TTTAAAATTAATAATTTAAAATTATATTATAGTATCAATTATTTATAATAAATCTAAAATCTATTTTACTTGTTAAAAAATATTTAAAATTTATAAAAATTTTAAGTATAACAATTTATATATTCAAAGTATGTATTATTATAAATTTTAATTATATAAATAAATTGTTACTTTAAGTATTGTAAAAGCTAAAATATTCTTTTGTTATTAAAAGATACTCTAATATTATAATTTAAGTATGTATCTAATTTGTGAATTTGTTTGGATAAATTTTCTCATAAGTACTTTAAGACTATATATATATAAAAGTTAAAATTAACTTATACATGAATATAAAATATTTAAAAAAAATTAATATGAGAGATATTCTATGAATCTTATAAAAACTTATTCAAACAATTTAAGATCCAAAAATTAATTCTAAAATGTTAATTAGAATTACCCATATGACTATTAAATGTGAAACTCCAATAATATGATTATAAAAGAAATGTGAATATCCAATACAATTTTCACTACATATTTAGTATTCTTATTTTTTCGCATTAGTGTGAAGTACTCATTGATTTAGTTGATTATTAATTTTTATCAAAATTAAATAATCATCTTTAATACGGCATGTCTTCTCATTTCTATTTTTTCATTAATAAGATTTAAGCCTTCAACTTTACATAACAATACCTGGTCAGTCTTGTTTTTATGAATTTTTTTACAAGACTCTTGTGTTTTTGTTAAGTGTTTATTTTTATAAAATATAAAATTTATTTTTCATTCAATCAGTTCATTTAAATAATCACTTACGACTAGAAGTGTCAATTTGATCCGTAATTTTGGGCCTAACCCACCCCACCTTGTATAATAGCGTAAAGTGAAGTGAAATTTTTTAGGTATGTATCCTCTTTGGAATTATAATTTTTCATTAGAAGTGAGACGCCCAAGACAAAGTTGATGGTTAAATTCTTTTTTAACTATTTTCCAACTTTGTATGTATCTGTCTCCTACCGAAAATTTTCGGTATCGATGTTGACTTTGACGTTGATATATCTCTTCTGTTATAATTTGTTTAATGTGGATTGAAGTAACATATATCATAACTAATTATTTATATAATTAAAATTTATAATAATATATAAATTTGAGATAATGTCCACTCTGCGATCTTATCCTCCTTTGCGTTCATAAGTGAGGAACTATGTATTGTTTTATCAGAATTTTGTAAAATTCAATTATCAAATTAGTTATTCAAAACCTTAAAGTATTATTTAGTTACTAGAAGATAATTTATCAGTAAATTATTTTTTTAAAATTTACAATTTTATTATATTAATTTCAACAGAAATTAAAATTATGACACCAAATCTGATTCATTTTTTTACAGTTTTTGTTAAAAGTAAAGAAATTTAGGTAATTTTTTTCCATAATTGAGCACTTTTTGGAGTAATTTTTTTATAAAGTTATTTTTTTTATTCTTTCTCAAGATAATGACAATTAGATAATTTAGCCAATTCCTTAAAGTTAAGCAATTTTAGTTTATTTATTAATTGATTATTTGATAACTATTAGTCAACTTTAGTGTAGCATATTGAGTTTAAAAACCAAATTTATTGCTTAATTGTATTTTTTGTTTCCCTATAAAATCTAATGTGATTTTTTTAATTCTATATTTTTAGTTCTTAAATTTGTAATAATAAGCAATTTTATTCCATTATTCCATTGTTTAGTAAACTTGATAAGTACATTTATCATTTATCATTATCCCTCCCTCTCTCTATTACATGGGTTGGTTGCATTTTTAATTCATACTATTGTGTAAATTTAAATTTTTTTTTGATATAGAATCTTAATTATCGTAATTTAAAAAATAATAAATTTATTGAATAAAATATATTAAATAGTAAGTTATATAATTTGCTTATTAAGTTTTTTTTTATCTTATGATAAAAAAAATATTATATATTATCTCAAACAAGATTTAACATTAAATAAGTATTTTAAACGAATATTTTTATAATTTTTTATAATTGTTAAACTAAATTCAACAAATATTAAATTTAAAATTTTATAATTTGTATGAAGGTTAAAGGTTTAAGAGGAATACTAATTTTGAAAGTTAAATTATTTAGTCAATAAATTTGTATAACTTAATAAATAAGTTTATCATCTTAACTTTTGTAAATTTTAAATTCAAATAATAATGATTAAACACTAAATAGAACTAAATTTGTATAACAATGTTAATTACAAATGTAATTGCAGTAAAAAAAATTACAAATGTAATTAACTTATTACTTATGTAATAATATCTACAGTATAACTTAAATAATTCAAATGACTTAGTATTAATGGTAGTAACATGTCAGATTAAAGAGAGGAAAAAAGAGAAATAGAAAGAAAGAGATATTTTTATTTTATTTTAAAAAGGATACTATGATATTTTTATATACATAAAAATTTCTCTCTAACTCAAAAAAGTTGGATTATCATCCCCTATGAAAATGATTTTATGGGAAAGTAAGATAAAAATAGTTTTGAAAAATTATATTCCTAAGAATCTCCTTTTTATTTTAAACAAGCTATCAAACATGAGAAATTAACATTTATGATTTAAGATTTGCAGGAATGTAAAAATATTTCGCATATCAAACACTCTTTATAGTCGATGAATGAAGTTAAATTATTTAATTTTAAAAATTAGAAAAATATAATTATGTAATTAAAAAAAAGAAGACCAAAATGATAGATTGAAAATTATAAAAAGACTAAAAGAATAATTAAGCTCAATTTTTTTTTAATTTTCTATTGAATAACTTAAAGAATCATATCAATTATCATTTTTCCCTCATTTTTGTTCTCTTCATACTCTTATGCTGTTCGGATTAAGGATAAAATAGAAGAAAAAAAATATAAGAGAAATGTGGTGGAAATTATATGTTATTTTGGTGGATAAAAATAAGAAGGAAAAGAGTGAAAAGAAAAAATTCTCTAAACTTGTTTGAATGAGTGAAAATGAGAAAGAAAAAAAATGAACAAATCATATGAAAAAATGTTTATATCAATTAATTTTTTTTTAAAATTATTATTATTATTTTCAGAAATATCTTATAAGAAATATTTAATTATTAAGAAGTAGTTCATTTAGACTTTCCTTCTCAAATCATGACTAAAGTGAAAGGAAATGTAAGATAGTGCTGCAAATTTTTACAACTTTCACCATTTCACTCCAAACAAATAAGGGAAATATTCACATTTCTATTAAATTCTTCCTTCCTAAATTTCTCTCTGAATAAAAATACAATAAAATTATAGTGTTAGTGTCCGAAGTATTGCTGGTGGAAGAAATCAATCAGCTGTGGACATGGGCTGAAGATGAAAGAAAAGTTGACTCAACCAATAGGTGGGTGCCTATATAAATTGTGTTGCGATACTCATACTCATTTCTCTTTATTTGTCTATGTATAAAATTGAAATGCCAAAAATAAAATTGATTCCTCATTTCTATTTAATTGCCGATTTATTGCAATAACCAACAAAAATAACAATTACTATTCTTCGATTTAGCAGTGAGTGATTTTGAGAAGAGGAAAGCGAGAGATCAAGGTGTATAATTGGTCACAGCGATCTGATTATGATACAACTAAAAGTAGTGAAAGGGAAGGGCTCAAAGTTGAAACAAAGAAATAATGAAGAAACCACGTGGTATGCTGTTATAGCCCGTTACAAATAATTAATTATAGCATACGAGGCTTGTGGACATAGTAGATCACACAATTAAACTCATACCAATATAAGAAAAAACGTTGATTCCTTATTTCACAGGAGAGAAGCCATGTGCCAGGTGCTCCAATTGGTCCATCTACGGTGTCTTTTTCGATCAAAATAAAACCTCACCCTTCGTATGTTAATAATGCTATTCTTAATAATGTTTGAGGCCAAGTGAACCTTGGATTTGGAAACATGATACATTGGTTGGTTGGTTGGTTAGTCCTAATTTGATTTTGTCTTTCTTTTGCTGTGGCAGTGCGTAGAGCATATAAGGAGAAATAGTTCGTCCACCATTCACAATAGGTATGAAGAGTGTAAACAAAATAAACTGTTAAGTGGATTTGATGTTGCCTAATCAAATTCAGATATTTTCATCCATAAACTTGAGCACTGGCAGCAAATTATGGCCACAATAACAATTAGTTAGAAACAAGACCAGTTTAATCCAGCTTTGATCCCAACTAGTACTAGCACATTATCTTCTAATGGTTTAGAATTTATCCACAAAGATAATCTTATATTCAAACTAATTTACCATTTTATTATAACTATACCTCATTTCCCACTTGTTTTTTCTGTCAATACTTTGATGCCAGTATCAAACAATCATTTCTTTTTCTTCATAAAATCAAGAGCGCAAATACTTCAACAAGACATCTGTAGCATAAAGGATTGAAAATTGAGAGATTAACAAGTGGCTACTGAACAGGGAACTTCATAAACTTTCAACATATGAATTTTCCAATGCAATAACTACACTCACCATTCAACAGGAATTCTACTAGTAAAAAGTTCTTAAATATTACTAAATGGAAAAATACCATGGGGATTTGATTAAATTATATTCTACGGACGCTTTCGCGTTTCATTTCAAGAATTTTAATGATATATATCCTTTTGTTCATACACTAATATATATTGTAAAAAATGGAAGCCACTTGGGGGGTTAAACAAGTAACAAATCAGAAACCAATTCATCAATCAAATAAGCTAGTATCATCTCCTCAACCTCTAAACCCTCTTCAAATGCTTCAACATCAAAGTCAAGCCATTTCCCACATCCAGAGCTCATGTCCTTGCTGACAAGCTCATCCACCATTATCTCTTCCATGCTTTTAAAACTCTGCATCTCCTTGTACAGTTCATTTGCCATCCAGATCTTCCTCTGAACTGACATCATCCATCCAGGCCATGCTTTGCACGTTCCGACAAAAGCCCGCTTACATCTCAACTCTAGGAACTCACTCACACAGTCAAATATAGCCTTCCTTTCAAGCTTACAGTACTCTTCTCCATAGTTTTCTGTTCCATTATTCTGATTCTCCAACAGATCAAAGAGATTTGGCATTATGACTGTACTAGTTTGACCCACAACAAACTCTTCTGCCATAAACTCTGCATTGCCAAGAATATCTTGCACATATTCAAATTCAGAGTTACTTGATCTTTTAAAATCAACTAAATTTGATATTCCACTTATTTGTTTGATGGTCATATTTCTGCCACCAGATGTAGAAGAGCTTTGCTCTGACCCTTTCCCCTCATTTTCAAGTGATACAGATTCGCTTATCTGCGAAAGATTAGATACTTCCTCATCTTGCATGGAAGAATAAACTGTGCTGCCTGAAAAGAGAAAAGGGAAGAATCTGATACGCAATACAATTTTATAGGTAAATGCATCTATGCTGAAGAACTGCAACAAAGTGTAGTTTCTATGACCCAACATTGATAAAGGACAAATATATAACCAGTTAGTAATAAATGTTCACAGTATAAAGGATATTTGACATTTTATTCTTAAAAAATAATGAAAGACTCCAAAATTATGCAAAACATTCCAGCTTTGAAGAATAATTCCTCACTATTTGCGAAGGTCATTCTAGAATAACCCCCCC